CTGCAAGATTCTGCGCGTACGTGGTTCGAAAACCACGAAGCGTCCTTATTGTCATGGGACGACTTTTGAAGAAAGTTTTTTGCTACGTACCCAAACACGGACCGCAAAGAAAAGGCAGAGGTTGCTCTTCAGACGCGATACCAACGGAACAATGAGAGCGTTGCCATGTACACTGCGGAGATGTCTCGACTGTTCTGCCGGGCCGACCCGAACATGGTTGAAGAAAAGAAGTTGCGGCACCTGATGCGTGGAGTGAAGGAAGAGCTTTTTGCAGGCCTACTGCGTAATCTCCCCCGCTCTCTTGCTGAGTTCAGATCAGAGGCGACAATGATAGAAAAGACCCTGCAGCAGCGCGCGCGCCAATACAACACGGACGTAAGCGTCTCATCTGTTAGTGCGGCGTCGACAACCCTCACGATTAACATTGACCTCTTGCATGAAATGGTGAGGGCTGTCGTAAGGGGAAGAACTTCAGAAAATACAAATGACTCAAGCTCATCCAGCGATGTCCTCACTTCCGACGTTGTGCGCGAAGAAAGGCGGCAAGCGGTTCTTCAACAACAACCTCAGGTACTACAGCGTGCACAACCAGAGTCTCCGCCTCAGTTGTCGTACCCGCAAGTTGTACGACAGGACCTCGGACGCAAGAATCAGACGACTTCGACTGCTGTGATGCCTCCGACGTTTTCTCCGAGTGCGCCACTACCAATGCCGGAAACAGGACCACGTAAGAGTGATGTATAGCGCACTGTAGACCGGCAGCCTCTTTGCTACCACTGCGGAGAAGCAGGTCACCTTTACCGGGCGTGCCAGTATCGTCGAGTGGGACTGCGTGGTTTTCCAGTCAATGCACCATGCCCACGAAACGGTGAAGGGCCCTACGAAATCGAAGCATACTTGTCTTCACGCTATTCACCTCAAGACACGCAACAACGGGAGTCACGTTTGACAGCACCGATGCCCTATCGGTCGCCGAGTCCTCATCCGTCATCAAATTCCCGAAGACCACGATCACCTAGCCCGCGGTGGGAAAACTAGAGCTAGCAACCTCTGGAGGTGAGGCCGCTGATATACTGACAACTGAAGACCCTCCATTGTTAGCCCGACAAGACGGTGGCAGTTACGCAACGACAGACAAGTGCAGTAGTAGTGACGTTACCTCCGAGATATTAGTCACGATCGACGACGTCGAGGCAATAGCGCTATTGGACACTGGTGCAGAATATTCCGTTGTCAGCAATGCTCTCGCAAAGAAGCTTAAGAAGGTGATGACTGAATGGACCGGACCTCAGATACGTACCGCTGGAGGGCACTTAGTTAGTCCCGTGGGGTTATGCACCGCAAGGATAGGAATAAGAGGATTTGTGTATGTCGGCAGCTTTATTGTGCTTCCTGAATGCTCCCGGGAACTGATTATAGGTATGGACTTCTTGCAGACAAACAATGCAGTCATTGACTTGGAAGAGTCCCAGGTTTCGTTTTCTACCGAGAATGCCGTTGCCTTCTGTCATGCGGAGAAACCAATCGTTCTACCTCTCCGCATTGTGGACGAAGATGTAACCGTGCCGTCACGTTCCAGTGTGACCGTTTTTGTGAGGAGTGAAGTTCTCCGTGACTATGACGGATTAGCGGATGGAAACATTGGACTGCTACTAGAAAAAGGGCTATGCGTGGCAAGAGGCCTGGTGAGCCTTCGTGATGGATGTGCGTATGTCCTATTAACTAACTTTTGAAATGAGCTGCAGCATGTTGCGAAGGGAACATCCGTAGCATCGCTGCATGAGTACGTGCAAGTCTCAGATGTTTGCACTCTTGATAAAGCTTCAGAGGCAGTAGATAACGTACTCCAATTAGTAGACATTGACAGAGAGCTCTCGTCATCTCAGAAGCAACAGATTGCTGACCTCATCAGAGAGTTCGCCGAGTGCTTCTTTACCTCGTCGAAAGTCAGACGTAATCCCATCGCAAAACACCGTACCGTGGTCGAAGAACACGCGAGACCTGTGCATCAGCGCCCATACCTAGGAAAGCGTGCCAGTGTCCTGTCTAAGTACCGTATCTCCAACTTCCACTGCACACACTGTTATGACACTCTTCAGGTTATCATTCATTGCGTCAACGCTAAGGCTGGTTTCCTTGATAAGTGCAGAGTACCTGTACTGAAGCGAGACTCTGAATTCGAGTACTTTTCCTCTCCACGCTAGCTAATTATTGGCTTCTTGCGTATCAGTATCTGTCGTTCCTTCTTCAAGTCTAGGCGAATGCGAGACCGTACCATTCTATGGTCACTGCATTGTACATTGCCAAGCACTTCCACATCCTGCGCAATGCCTGGGTGTGCACTCAGTATAAAAACTATTTCGTTCTTACTTTTGCCATTAGGGCTCCTATATATCCACTTACAGTTCCCTTGTTTTCGGTCGAAGGTATTCAAGATCCATAAATTATTGCGTCCTGTGAATTCTACTAATGGCTCCCCTCTGGCATTTCTAGTACCAAGCCATGAACTCCTACTGCCTGGTCTCCAGCCTGCTTCTTCCCTACCATGGCATTGAACTCACACATCAGATGTTAAACTCCACTAATTGACCATTAACAACTATGTTTTTACTTGTGTTTTTAGAAAATCTCAATCCAAGAATAACTTCAGTAAACTTCCATCCTTCATTGAGCTGGCATCTATGGTTGACATTACACACAAATTCAGCTGAAGCCAACTACGTTCCCATTAAAGAACAGAGGAAATGTCTTCCAGGCGAACTAGTATTTCACGGTGGATGTTCAGAGAGCAATGCCAAACAATCTTTCATGCGTTGTTGTAGTTCTCAGGTACAACTTTAAGTGTCTCAGCGATGAAAAAAAGCGTTCTACTTCAGCTGTGCTCACCTGCAGAATTGCTAGAATCTTTAGAAGATGGTGCACGTTTAGAAAGAATACCTCTGGGCAATTGAAACCGCTTGCATCGCAGACATGCTCAGTGTTTCTCGCTTCTCTCGTTTTCATTTCGCAGCATATACTGCGAAATCTCCATGCAATGCTGAAGCTGTGATAATGTTCGGGTATACACGTCATTACTCGACAGTGAGAAAAGTGGCAGATTTGCCAATGTTCTGTGGCAGAAGCCAAAAAAGCATCTTCAAGGTGTGCAGATGCCTCTTAAAAACTCTCATTGAAGTGGCCTATTAAATGGTCTAGAAAAAGCCAGAAATACTGAAAGCCTAAAGTGCTCTTCCACACCAGTCACTGGCACGTTACTTCAATGAAGCTGCCTGCCTGTGACAAATGGCATTCTCATTTTCGCCAGTTATCAAGTGTGCACTGGACACAGCGTCACTTTTTGGGAAATAATCATCAAGTGTTACACCGTATGGTGTTTCGGCGCGACCATCGAGTCTCATAGAAGGACGCTGATCGACCCAGGACACGAACTACCAAGCAACTACATGTAGGCAGTGTATTTCAAGAGGGTGGCTTCGCATTGCTAGGAAGCGACGAGCTCAGCAATGTTCGGGCAGTGACCCTGAATGCAAAAAACGAGAACTTTAGCGAAGATACATGTCGGCTGGTAAAGTTCTGCCTTAAACATTAGCGCTCGTTTCTCGCCTGGCGGAAAGATTTGCGGGTATACATTTCCTCCGCTTCCCTTCAGGTGCCAGTAAGGTCGCGTTTGCCCAGTAACTTGCTTTGCGCGCAAGATGTCTCGCGTTTGTGATTGCGCCCATACGTAAGGCTGATAGTTTCTATCACATTGTGATGATATACCGCAAACGTAGTAGGCAGTAGTGAAATTCCGGCCACTCGCATCAGAATGCCCGAAACAGACAACAGGCATGGACGGTGCACAGTAGAGCATAAGTAAACTCATGTTGCATGCACTGGCAGTTCTCGTCGGAGTTCACGCGTTTTGAGAAATGGATTAAGGTGCACTGTGCTCCGAGCAACTCTGAAGTTCATTCCTTCATCACTAGTGAACCGATCACTGCAGATTTTGTGTGGTATGAGCTTGCTTCTGTTCACGCTGGTGTAAGCGCTGGAAACACGAACGTATGCTGCATGGTTAAATATTCTGTACAGTTCTGAATCTGTTCAAGTAAAGAGAAAAGTTGGCTGCACGCTTGCAAACAACGGAAGACACCTTGTCGCAACGCTATCGTTTTAGGGAGCCGAATCAAGACAGCTACGGAAAAAAAAAGAGAACATACCACTTTTCTAGCGCGTATTTAAGTGTTACAGCACATATGCGCAGCGACCGAGTTTTATGTGAGTAGGTGTAGTCCGGTCGCAAGTGCACGTTTGATTGAGACCAAGTGAACATATCTCATCAATGATTACCTTACTCTCGCAGATTGCACGATAAAACCTCTACGATTGTAGTACTCCATTGCTATCTATAGTCACAGTGTAACCGAAAGTCTGCCCGAAAAATAACGTGTGCAGAATGGCATTGCAAACATGCAGCATATCTTACAAAAAAAAAGTTACCTTTTTCGTATCGTAAGCATGCTTGAATGCATGCAGTAAAGTAAAAAAAAATGCTTACTAAAAAGCTACCACTGCGTCAGGGCAGCTTGACATATAGAGATTAATAGAAACATCGTTCCCATACGCATGAAGTCGCAGACTTTGACAGTAAGAAATTCGCTCAGCAAGGTAAGCAAAACCAAAATGTAACTTTCAATGTACAAAAACATGCTGCGTATACTGCTGATTCCTCGCTGCAAGCGAGACTCTCCTTATTCTGTGAAACGCACTTCGCCCCGATGAGGACTACACTATCTATGCTTAACAAAGATTAACGATGTCTTCTTCAATCGGCTGGGTAATCGCAATAATGCACTTTCGAACCATAGTCCATTCAAAGGTGCGGCTAGGGGCAGTTGTTCCAAACGGTCACTGTACCTGTCGTTTAGTACCTCAGACTCACCGGTGATCCAGGCCACACTGAATGTTCGAATAGCAAAGCTAAAGAGTTGAAGAAGAAATGGACAGAACCTCATTCAGGTCAATGGAAACATCCAGGCATTTTACTATAGACAAAGTCCTTTTTCACAAACATGTACAAACAAGTTAAATCTGCACACCAAGGCGATGCTAGAGCATTTCGCAGGGCGCCTGTGCAGACAAAAGAATGAAAATGGCATTAAAAAACATCTTAAACAAGCATCATCTGCAAAAGGCAACAAGATATCTTAAAAATAAAAGCAACACAAAAAAAGTTTTTCGTTCAAAACAACAACAAAAAAACTGTACACAAATACAAGTCCCCGTAAATTAAAAGAGTGCACAAAAGTACATATCGCGAAACAATCTGCCAATGCTCTGAGGCTACGTCGATGCTAATAAAGAAAATTTGGTGCACAGTCACCGTAAAAAATAATTTGCCTGCAGTGTGCACATGCAGCTCTATCCAGTTTAGGCCTACACAATCTACATCCGCTGTCTACGTCCCCTTTTCGTAGGAACACTGTTATCATGTAGTAGTCGCCAAAAATTTATAATACTATTAAAAAACTAAGTGTACATGCTTTAATATCAAATGCACCTGCAGACCTAAACGTTTGAGCTGCCCTTTGTTCGTATTCCTTTTTTTACACGACTGTACATTCGTTGCTCCCAAAATGGTTTTTACTTTTTTTTTTCATGATTGGAAACATGCAAGTGCCTTGCATAGAACTGCATTATTTTTTTTTATTTCAAAATAGACGGCTTTTCTGAAGACTAGATGCGTACCAACAAATAATAAAAAGATATCTACACACCATAGCATAAGAACGCGTCCACTCGCTAAAAGACCCGAAGGTCAATTTACAAGCCAGAGCACACGCGACATTGCCCATTTGCGCAATCCAATGCCTATCGATTGTGAGTCACATGGTCACCTCCTTGAGCTCATGAAAGCAGCTTTGAATTTTCTGGCCCGGCGATATGTGTTGGAAGAGTTGCGCTACGCAAGTCACGCTGTCAACCTGTACCATCAGTACCGTATAAATGAACAGCCACATACTTTTTAAAGCGAAGATTTGCCACCGGCATGGAACATTATTTTAAAAGTGCCTTACTACTGTGCATAACCCAAAACAAAATCATTCTGGGTTGCTGAGCAACAAATAAATCGTTTGAACAGTAAAAAAATATGAACGAACAAAAAGGCCACTGTTTATCAAGCGGGCTATACAATGCAGGGTCTCTGGTTTGTACCCGTAACTACGAAACTTTTTCAGGGCATTGGACTTGGAAAAAAAAATCATCGAAGTTCAGTACATTGGATGGCCAGAACAATGTTAGAATTGCAAACAGCTCTGCATGCATCTCCACAAAGCCAACACTGGGCAACAAGTTGACAGTTTAGTGACGTGTCTTGTCTCATCTTCAATTACTCCGGCTGTTAACCGGAACCATTTTTCAAATTTTCGCATTCCAAAAAAAAAACATTGCTGCTCCCACGCAAGCACGAAGAACTGCACCTAACAAGCAAGCTAGCACATCTATTTTGCTGTACAGGCAACAAACTTTTTTTTTTATTCTTCACCAAAGCGCACACGACGTGCACCTATTTGTGGCAGTGCCCAGTCGAGTTTACAACTCCACGTCACCGAAAACAAGTATCACAGATCCACTGACCGCATTCCCGCCAGGCCAGTTTTGCTGCACCGGCCAATGCTCGAGGTTACTTTCTGGAAAAACCACGACAGCACATTCAACAGCCAGTCTTCAACCGCCGCATCTACTGCTAAAAAGCACTTGCACTGCATTGTAACCGAGCAAATCGATACAAAATTGGGGACTCTAGACTCAATGCACATAATTTAACTGCATCAGCGGTTTGTATATACTAGTTGAATACATGCAAAAGAAAGCGTTATAAATACGTCGAGTGACAGTTAAATACTCGGACCAGAACTAGTATTTGACCTTGACTCGCTTACACGCTACAGCCTCGTATTTTTTTTTTTCTTTTTCTTCTAACAGCGTGTGTGGTGGCTTTCAACGCTGGCTCTCTCGATTTGCGACGCCGAGCCCGTTTCCCAGGAATGCAAGAAAGCATGCAAGCACCGATGGTGGTTCGAAGAGGGTCGCAGGATGGGGAAGCGACGACTGCTACGACCGGATGTCCTGCGACGGTCTGGCAAGCCTGATTGCGCCGTAAAAAGGACCATGCGCCCGAGACCGATTTTCAAAGTGCCCTCGATAAGTGGGTGTTAGCATCTCCCAGAAAAAGAGAAAAATTTTGAGACGCTGCCAGGAAGGAAGACGAGGTCGCCCTCTTGAAATCCGTAGCTGCCGTCAGGCGTACACGTCGGCCCTCTTGTCACGCAGCCTGTTACGGGTCTTCGTGCGGGCCCGACAGCTGGCAAGGTTCACCATGTGCTGCAGAGAAAACGATACACAGGAGGAATTCACAACGTTGGACGTGTAGATTTACAGTCGTGCGTGACACGAAATGGAGCGCCGGGATGAGGTTTATAAAGAAACGATTGCTCAAGATGTGAGGATACAAATTTGGTGCATTGATGTGTCCCCTACATTAAAACATTTAGTGTGATGAAGACATGCATACTTGCAAACTGAGTTTAGAGACTGATTTTCCTGGAGGTCACTTGAGTGTTCACTTTTACGTCGTTCACGACTGTACAATGATCACCGAATGAAGCATGTTGACTTAGGGCTAGGTAATGCACATGTTTACGATTCCATCATCTCGAGTTTGTGTCATAACGGTCACAACAGTGGACCATACATCAGAGCCAAAATTTACTATGAGTTAGTCGGAATGATAATGTCAGCGAAACAATATTCGTTATTTCAATCCAGAACGAAACCAAAATGTATTTCCTGCTGGCTATCGGTTAGAACAAGCAAGGTCATGCAATGAGCAGGGATACCTAAGTAAAGGTGTGTTAAATTTGCAAAAGATGAAGACAGTGGCGAATGGCTTCCCTGTCATTTCTACCACAAAGGCAATCATGAAGAGGGCATTCTCGGTGCCAAAGTTTGTTTAGTAAGACCAGTGGTCTCGCATATCGCTGGGTGGTGTACATTTTCTGAGATTACGTTTGTTCCCTTGAAGCAAAGCATTCATTGTGCTCGGAAAATTTGTAATTAATCGTACAAGAACAACTATGTTTTTATTGCAACCTTAGTTTCAAATTCTCACATGCAAATAAAACCGTAACTGAACGAGTGACAAGAAAACCTTGTCTCAAGCAACTGTTGCACTCTGTTTTGGTGTCGTGCTTCATTTTACGAGGAGAACTACACACGAAACTCGCCCACAATAATAGGACCTGCAAAAGATCTAACACAGCGCCATTTCAAGTCGTCAACTGCAGTAAGCGCTTCCAGCACAATATTCCTGCCTTTTAAGACTAAGTGGCAGATTCAAAACACACTATATATTGAGCTAACTGGCAAAACAGTGCACTCAATTTTTCTTACCTGCATCGAATGAAAAAAAAAAAATCTTCACTGATAGAGAAAGGAATCACAATTAGCAGACGTTACTAGTGAGCCTCCAAATGTTGCCGCCCACAGTATACATGTCAATTCTCTCGGTACAAGTATTTTTGCAGTCGCCAGCAAGCACCAATAAGAGAGAAACATTACGGCGCTTCACGATCACTACATGGTGACAATGCATTCAACAAGAGCACTTACCCTCTCAAATTTTGTTATTTTTGAAATGATGTGGTCTTCAGCCGCAATTACAGGACCTAATTCGAAAATGTCCCTCAAGAGCTCGTTCGCCTAGAAGAAAAAAAAAAGAAAAGAGGAGGGCTTAGCAGATATAAAAGCAACCGTACGGACATGTCTTAATGGCGACACAACACAAGTCTCAATTATACATTTCCTTTAAATTGGCATACCGGCTACGCTACTGGAGTTAATAGAAAGATCCCTATACAATAAACGGCAAATTCGGTAACTTCGCACTTCACTGCATGAATATCACAGCATAGGCAAGGTTGCAGGGGAAAAACAGGCATACACACAAAAAAGCACGAACGCACACTTTCAGATGTTGTACGGCCGTGCAAACATTCCACCATGGAAGACAATAAAATTACTTATCTAAGGCAAGTTTCCGTCTCACAGATAACAATTCATTTCCCATGTCTTTTGTTGTGCTACCCCATTCAGCTATCACAAATGGTGCTCCTGGTGCCAGCATGACGCAGAATTCTAGATATTAAAGTTTGAAATGCATGATTTTTGAGAAAGGACATACAATCAAGTCAGATGAATAAAATCCTTGTACACCACAGAGGTACTTTAGGCACCCCCCCTCCCTAGACTGAGAAGAGCATTTGTATTGTACAAGGCACGTAGTTGGAACTTCACTACGTAAAGTAGCTCAAAGAAAGAACTCTCCAGCAACTTTTCACCGTCAGAAGACTTCCAATAGAAGATTCAGAGACAGAAGAGCTTAATTTTCTTGCAATATCAACTTTGTGCCAGACGAAGCATCATATGTATCTGATGTCATATAACGAGCCCAGATACTTTAAATTTGCAAGAGCGTTACAGCTATGTTTGCACAAACAAAAACAAAAGCTACACCGAAGACAGCAAGTACCAAGTCCACTCACAGCTAGGTGGAGGTTCATGCCTGATCCCAGCAGTTGGCAGAAGGCATCGTACTGCAGCTTACGGCTCCAGGTGTCCAGCTCGAGAACTTCGCGGCCAAATTTCACGCTGATGTCTGGTGAGGAGCCTTCCTGAATTAGTGAGAGACAAAAGATGCAACTCACCGAAGTGGCCTGTAAAACTACGCACATATCAAACACTCACATTATTACACATGCTTGCTAGAGGACACATTCATACATCGTACACTATAGTGTGTGATACTATAGCATTCTTTCTAGGAATTGAGAGACCATTGAATTTTTAAGAAAGGAAATGCAAGCGAGCCAGATGATGACTGCTGTTGTGTGACCAACACATACCCGATAGATTGAATCTATATTAACAAGAATAATCTTCAGATCTGCACTATCTTCCTCTTTACAGTGATGTACAACTTCTACCTCAGCAAACCCTGACTGAAACTAACTGAAACAGTCTTAACACTTTTTTAAAACAAATCTGTTAAGTGCACCAATCTCTTCTGTTCCAAAGCTCCTGAAAGGCTTCAGAACTGAAGTAAAATGTAGCCAGAGACAGTGCCAGAGACTCACACGGACTGCCCGGTAGACATCGCGGAAAGTGGAGCGTTGTTGACGACGCTCCTTTTTCGCTCTGAACTTTTGGCTGTCGGTGGCAAGCTGCCGTAGTTGGTTGCAAAGGTCGTCTGATGGTTCCTCAAAATTCTAGTAATAAAAATTGAGGAAAAGAAGAAACAAAACAGTACAATATTATGACAAGGCAAATCTTAACAAGATGAAAGAAAGCGGGCCGTAAACATACCAAGTGCGTCGCGAGAAATGCAACTGCACAGTCATGTTTAGAACATGATAAAGTGAGCATGAATGCTACTTTCCACAAATTCAGCACAGTGATCAGTGAAGCAAGAACAGTAAAACCTCATTAATTCAAACAATTTCTGAAGTCCCGTATATTGCAATGTAAGCTTGAGTGGATAATTTGAAGCGGCGGCCGGCACCAGTCTGGTTAATTCGAAAACTTTGGGTGCCATGTGCCAGTTCCACATCCCGATTTCGCCGCGAAGCCGCAGGAACGACGACCGCTAATAGCCACAACGCAATGCAACGTATCGATACTAATGTGGCAGCTGAAGCACCCCAGTCTCGCTACTGCCAATGCAAAAAAAAAAAAAGAAAAAAAAAAGAAACGGTCTTGTGATCAACCAAAACATGCGCCTGCGCAATATGAGCTATGCTTCACTGCAACACAGTGGTGACACGTGGGCAGGTTATCGCGTGTTTTTCGCAGCGGGCCATGGTTTACACATTCTTTCTGGGATTGTAAAGAAATTAATAAAGGACAGTTTAGCGGAAATCACGATGTATGCAAACCTTCGATTGCCGGTTGCACCAGCAATTTGCACCTTTGCACTGCTGGCGGACTTCTTGCCAGCAACACCTACTTCAAAAACCAAGTTTGAAAGTTTCAAAGATAATTTTTTTCCAGCCAAAACACATCGTGAGCTTCCTCGTACAGGCCATTATTAAATTCATAATTATAATAGACAGAATGTGCGAATGGTCGCATCATGACGTGCTGGCGCAGCGAGGAGCAGGTGACATGCTGCTCGCGTGTCACTACTGTGTTGCAGTTAACATGTCTTGTTTTCTGCAGGCGCACATTTCAGTCACGACGGCGTTTTTTTAGATGCGGAGCATCTTATACTCGCGCCTTGTAGTGCGCCGTCCGCGCCGTCCGCACCGCTTGTCGAACATTCGACAGCTGACGCGCGCGCATGCGCCGTCGCCCACTCTTCCACCATCTGTGCATCCCTTCCTCCTCTACACACCGCGCGCGCTTCACTCCTCCACCATCTGTGCACCCTTCCTCCTCTACACACCGCGTTCGACATCTACAATTCTCCCGATTCTCCAGTGGACGCGCATGTGGCGTCGCGCTTCGAGAACATTCAACAGCTGACAGTGCATGCGCCGTCGTGCTGTATATATACTCAAGGTCGGCGCTCGCTCGCTCAGTTGCCGCTCGTCGGTTGGTTTGTACGGCGCGTCGACGTCCAAGGTCGCGGTGAAATGAATTCCAACGAATCCACAAACACAATGATCGACGTCCCTTCGACCAGCGCCGCTCTTTCGCATACGTGTGTACGTGTTCACTCATTTAACACCCCCTCCTACAACCACGTTAACCAATTTAGCCATCGACCCAAGTAAGTCGCAATTTAACACCCCATTTCACAACCACGTTAACCAATTTAGCCATCGACCCAAGTAAGTCGCACTTTAACACCCCGTTAACCAATTATATGGTCCGCATCCTCCTCAGTGTTCCCCCGAAGGAAGCTGCGGGCAATTTTTTTTTCTTTTTTTTTTTTTCGATGGCAGCAGCGAGGCCCACCGTTCTTCTATGTTCGCGGCAAAATAAAGACCAGGTATTGCTAAAGAACATTAGCTTTGGAGCCGCAAGCTAGCTGGCACAGTAAACGACGAGCACCGATTACTTTGAACAGTATACTAAGTTCCTTGCATCCCACTTTTTGTATGTTCTGTTAATTCGAAAACCCGCTTAATTTGAAGCTTTCTCGCGGCCCCAGTGACTTCGAATTAACGTGGTTTTACTGTAATTTATCTTAGCTCAAACAACTAACCAACGGAGGCAGAGTTCCACTCCTTTCCTGAAGAAAGAGTTATGAAACATTTCATGTAAAAAGAAGACCGCGGTGCAGAGAAACGTACGTCATCATAATCCCTGGCCACTTCATAGATGATGGCAATGACTTCGCCGGCCGCGATTCGCAAGTCCAGATCCGAGCTCTCCAACAGTTCCTGAAGGCGGCCCATGTTGCTGCACGAAAAAGTTCACATGCGAGTCCACTCGACGCCTCCACGGCAAATAAGGGGAGGGTGAAAGAAAGAATCGATTGAGGAAATGCACGAAATAAGTCAAGTGCAATAATAGAACGAGCGCAGCTAGAACATTTTTTTAGCAGCGATGCTTGAAGCAAAGCCGGTGAAGCTTGGCATGTTTGCCTGACCTACTGCTTTTCCTTCTATTTGTCACATTGTGCAATGCTCCCTTTGTATCCCTCCTCTAAGCCGAGAGTAGGACTGTCATCCAAATATTTAGCAGTGCGACACAGTTACGGTATGTTGAACCAATGGCTCTTCTAGTTCATCAATACAAGCCAGATGCACTCAATTCAGCCGTTCACCACGCTCTCCTTTAGCACTTTCCTGCTCTCGCCCATTGCCTAGCCTTCGTGAGAGCTTTGCATTCATGGGGAAGAGATCACACCATGCAGTGTCTCACGATGGAAATCATACAAAGTAATTTTTTTGTTCAGTTGCGCACAGATCTGTGGGGCGGCGTCCTAAATTCCTTGTGTTTACTATGTTGGCGATCACGCTGGCTCTGTAAAAGATATGGTGTTTCGAGATAGCGTGTCTCCGTTCATGGCGCGATGCGACAACCAAAGGGGAAGTGTCACTGAAACGCGACTACATGTGCTGCACCGCGATGATACGGCAGCGTTGCTTCAAGCCACGATAAAGAAGAACTAAGGAACAAATCTGACAGATGTAAGATATTGGAGTGGGAAACACACCTATCCCATGTCCCGCGGAAAGTGCCCGAAAGCACATGCGACGCGAGCAGTACGGGCCCTCATATAGTGCCGCATAACGACCACTCCCTGAACTAAGGCACACAGACGGCTTTCGTTGATAAGCGAGCATTTGAAATGGCATTGAAAGATATTAAGGAGGGGTTGGTTGAACAAGTGAAATCCAAGCTTGAAATTGACCCACTCGCAATTCTTCAACATACCATAACTTTTCTTTTAATAGGTTTAGAACATGCATTTTTGTTGCAGAGCACACAGTCATGATTCCTGATTATTGCTATACTCTGATTTACTCCGTAGCTCGCTCAGTTCAGAAAAAAAAAAAGAAATCTTGCTAGCAAAGAGCCTCATGAAATATTTTGTATTTTAAAAACAACGCATCACACTTGAAAGACAATTGCACATTTAGGTAAGCGCATAAATGCACATAAACTCACCACATTTCATCAAAATCAATCAAGAAATAAAAAAGTATTTCTTTAAGAGCAGTGTCTCCCCTTGACTTCACCATACAATTCATTTCACAGAACTGCCCCATGAGTGCCCAGATGTATGAAAATCTTAGGGCAGAAGTGTTTCCAGTGACATAGTAAGATTGCAACTAAGGGCAAAGCGCAAAGCAATCATAAAACTTGCATGGACAAAGAAAGACAATATTCGGCTGATTGGTAATAACCATCATCTACAATCAATAGACACAGGCAGCTATCGACAGATACGATAATCATGTGTGACTTACAGATGATGCAATTGTTACTTGAATCAATAGAATAGGCAAATTATTGTTAATCGTAAGACGTGATCTGGCTGAGTGTGATGACGCGGTACAATGCCAAATGCACGCAATCTTTCTTTCGGGGGTGGAACAGGGTGCATGGCTTTGGGAGCAGTTGTCGGAGCAAACAAAAGTGCTTTTTGTAGCAGGCTTGGAGCACCCAGAAGGGCCTTTTTGAGCAAGTTTAGAGCAGTGAGAACATTCAGAGGAAATTTAGTCCAGTTCAAAGCACTTGTGAAGTGACATTTGTTTAATGCTGCATTTTTCCAACACTCAGTGAAATTTCAACTGTACAATAACCTCATTGTTGCAATAGAAATTATATAGACACTCCCAATGTGACGTGTTTCTGCTGTTGCCATCATGTCTCGATAAATTTCAAATTGTTAACATACCCACGCACATCCTATGTTCTATCTACAGTGAAAGTGCGCAAGCGAGCCAACGAATGCAGTTGAAGCAGAGATCAAATGATCCGGCCCATCGAGTTTGAAGGATGCATGCGATAACATGCGATACCCAGGCCCGGGAGGTCTGTAGTCGAAGCAGAGAGGCAGCGCTCCGCCTGTCTTGAAATAGCACCTAAAGAAAACAACGAAGGTGTGTGTGTGTGTGTGGCGCACACTTTAGCTCTGCAGCCATCAGCGGGCGACCAGTATATACTTTAACGCGCTGCACTCTCATCAGGAAGAGACTGTGCGAGAAGTGTTGCTCTTTGTGAAGTGGCCGTGTTCTCGTAAACCAGTGCTTTGTACTGTTATATGAGATTGAATCTAAAAGGATTAAGTGCCAGCCTCAATTTGTATAACATTGCAATTTGCTATCGCATTCATTGCTTCACCCTTGCTGTGCAACTGCGACTTTCTTTAATTATGTGCAGATGCCCATGGTGTTTTCGCGGGGCGAAGCTCCTTAAGGTGTGGGTCTGTCCATCCTCCGTCGTTGTTGTACATAGCTACCAGGATGCAAGATGGGAGATGGCGGTACTTGGAGTGTTCACTAGATGGACGCATGGATGGGACGCATGAACCGATGGACAGACAGACTAGCAGGCTAATGGACGGACGCGCGCAGCAGGTATGTGCCACAGGGGATGCGAGATGATAGTACTTGGAGTGTTGACTAGATGGATGCATGGACGAATGGACACACAGACTAGAAGACGAACGGACAGATGGACGGACGCACGGACGGCCGTGCGGACGGACAGAAGCATGCACAGGCTGACGAACGCTTTGTCCCACTCATCATCATTCACTACGTGGATATGCTGTGATTTTTTTTTTATCTGAACGCACGGGAGTCAAGTGTCAATTTGATGAGCAGTCATGTTCACCTGTCTTTGCTAGGCTGTTCCAGAAACTGGACCCTTCTTTTTAGCACAGTTACTGCCATCTTCTATTTTTTTTTCCTGAATGCTGCCATCAAGCTATTAAAAAAAAAAGTTACACCAGAATTGCTAAGCAATGAATGCGATAGCAACAAACGGTAAGGCTGGCAGCCACTATTTGAGATCCAATATAGCGTAACTTTACAAAATGCCGGTGTGAGAGAGTACAGCCATGGCAGGAAGGGATGCTCTTCTAGCAGTCTCTTCGCATTGAGAGCACTGCACATAGAAGAGTTCACAAGCTATTCGCGCTGATGCCTGCAATGATCGCGTGTGCATAGTGTTGTAGCGGAATAGCAGGGAGGCAGACTTTTTCTAGTGAGACGACGACAGAGAAAAAACACGTCCTTTCAGTTTGAACGCATCACGAAGACTGGTTTATTCGTTCGCTATGTACCGCTGTCGTAGAGAGGGGAAGAAAAAAAGGAAAAGCAAACAGAGAAGTACAAGTATTGTCAAAGAGTTTCCTCCGCACCCCGCACGTGCGACGGTCTTCAAGGACAGATGGACAAACGCTTTCCGCGTGTTCCAGAAGGGTCATTGTGGCCCTCACCCCCCCTTTCCCTTCACGGCTGGGCTTGTAGGTAAAACAGATGTCAAGGACGCCCTTCGCTCCTTTCGCATTGCCCGTCACGCGAACCACCCGAAAACGAGTCCCTCCGAGTTGCCCCTCCTCCCCCTCTTCGCCGCGGAGTCTTTCAATTAACGCTCCCCCGAAGCGGGGGCTGCTTCCCAGTATGCGACAAATACAACAACCTCCCCCGGATGAGCGAACTCTTGAGCTCATTGTCGGTCGACTTCTAGCGGATAAAGCAGCTGTATTGGTCGTTTCACCACCGTTCCCCCGCTTAGTTTCAAACTGCAGGCCCGCACCCTGCCGTCCCTGCCCTTGAACGTTTCCTTGATTCTGGCGATCTTCCACATGTGTCGTTTGAGATGATCTTCCTTTAAAAGAACTAAATCGTCTATCTTTAGGTCACTCGATGTCGTTGGCCGGGACAGATGCGCCGATCGAAGCTCCAATAAGTACTCTCTCCGCCACCGTCTCCAGAATCCTTCAGCCATGGCAGACCGGTACTTCCAGCGTCGTGAGATATGCGCGTCACCGCCCGGAATTTCGGCTGGCAGGTGGTGTGGAGGAAGGGTTGTCAGCTTTCTTCCGACGAGGAAGTGCGCCGGCGACAGTGGTTCTGGCTCTTGAGCATCATCGTAGGTGAAAGTCAATGGGCGTGAGTTTATTACGGCCTCGACTTCGTACAAGACAGTTGTGAGTTCTTCAAAGCTTAAACTGCTCCGACCTAACACCTTGCGCAACGCTACCTTCACCGATCGCACCAACCGTTCCCAGAATCCGCCCCACCAAGCTGCCCTTTCAACAATAAACTTCCACCTGATCTGGTTTCCGGCGAAGTATGACTGCATTTCCTCTGATTTTAGTAGCGTGAACATTGCATTCAGATCTTTTGCTGCTCTCTTGAAGGTTAGCGCGTTGTCCGAATAAATAGTCGAGCAGATTCCCCTGCGAGCCACGAAGCGCTTGAAAGCCAGGAGAAAGGCTGTAGTCGACATGTCGCTAACGAGCTCAAGATGGACGGCACGTGTCACAGCGCAGGTTAAAATTGCGATGTAACATTTTCGGGCACCGCGCGACTCTTGACAAATCAAAGGTCCTGCGAAATCGATGCCGACAGTGTCGAACGGATTTCCTTCTGTTACTCTGTCAGCTGGAAGTGGTGCCACTGGTTCCGTGGCTTGAGGGCAACTTTGTTTGCGACAGATGAGGCACTGCTTGATAACCTTTTTTACGGCCTGGCGCCCTCGGATGATCCAATACGACTCTCGCAATGACGCCAAGGTGTCGCGCACCCCTGAGTGTAGCATTCTCACGTGCTCTTTCCTTATGAGCAGTAGCGTGAAGGGATGAGTGCTAGGTAGAATGATGGGATGTTTAGTCTCTTCGTGGTTGTCGGTGAATTGCAAGCGTCCACCAACTCGCATGAGACCTTCCCCGTCAAGGTACGGACTGAGTGGCAGAACAGGAGAGCCTTTGTGCAGTG